AAATAATTATGAGAAATATTCATTTATCCTTTTTTTCATAATTTCATTGTATATTCATAAAAACATTTAAAGAATAGTTTCATATAAAATGATAAAGTGAAGAAAATGAAAATAATAAAATTTTGATTGAAGCTTTTTATTTATTACATAAATTGCATTTTTAAAATTCATAATAAAATATATTAAAGAAATAATAATTCAATTAGTAATAAATAAATGTAAAGTAAATCATATCAAAACTCTTTAGGAATTCAAATTTTATAATGTATGTATGTATATATTAATGTATATATGTAATAATAATTCTATTTAATAATTTATATACATTTATAAAATTATGGAAACTCAATTATCAAATTCATTCAATTAATAATGTCATATTAAAAGTTTATTGAAAAAAAAAATCAATTCCTCTTTTAATTTGTATTCATAAATAATTAATTTATATTCTAATTATTCTGATTACTCTAGTTATTTTTATAGTCTAATTATAATCTATTATATATATATATATATAATTTTATAAATTAGAAAAAAAATAAATAATAAATTAAATGATTGATGATGACAATTATAATATATATTTATATAGTCATATAATTGCATGTATATATTAATTATTTATAAGGGTTTGCTTATATGTTAAAAAAATTTTAATTTTTTTAAATTTCAATTGCTATGCAAAATTAATATAATTTTACTAATTTTTTTATTAAATTTGAATATTATGAAATTTTACAATTTCTATAAAACTACTTTTGATATATTATTTATATAGTATCTATTATTCTATTTTATGTTCTTAATTAATTAATTGAATGGAATTTTAATTTAATTATTATCAATTAAATAAGTTGAATATTTTAATTTTTATAATTGAAAAAATAAATTATTAAATAAAACTTCAATCACAATTTTATTAAATGATTTTTATCATATTTTATTGTGTAAAATTATTTTCATTGTCCAAATCCATATATATATCAAAATAAATATCTCTATAAATAATGCTTTTAACAAAAATTGATTCAAATAATATTTTTTTATATTATTCAAATTTTTTTAAATTATTTATTCAATTTCTATATAATTAATAATTAAATTTTTAAAAAATATTAAATTTATATTATGTAATAAATGAATTTCAATATTTAATATTATTTCAATATTATTTTTCATTAAAAATTTGATTTTTATTTAAAAAATAGAAAGCATGCTTGTATCACAATATAACAAATTAAATAAAATTCGATAATATAACATGCAGTTTTTTTGAGTCATGTAACATTTAAATATAAATCAATCATTGTTAAAATCATTATTTACAGAGTTATAAAAATGATCCCAGTTATACATTCCCTATGCTATATATTAATGGAGTACATATATGTATATATTTGTTATAATATATAATAAACATATGTGATAATATACATTATTTATTTTTCGTGCAAGTTAAAAAAATATTATATTATACTTTTTACATACTTAAGCTCTAATATAATATTTTACATAAACACTTTACATAAAAATTTTAATAAAGTTATTCTTACCTCATCGAAGAAAACTTGTGTTTTTCGAAGTATATGCTTCAATTCAGTCAACTCCAAGAAGTTACGTTTAAGGGTTTCTGCATTTTGATTAACTTCTCGTAATTCATTTTCTAATTTTTCAAATGTTGCTTCAAGATCTATCATTTCTCTGGGTTGTGGAGCTTCTGGATTTTCTCCAGTATCGAGCATAGGAATACCATCTTTTTTAATTTCTTTTTCCAAATATCGTAATTTACGTTCCATTTCATCACAACGACGTACTTCATTAACAAATTTTCGTTGGAAAGCATTAACATCAGGATTAAGCTGTACAAACACAAGTTGATATATAAAATAATAAAATTATAAAATAATATTATATATATACATACATATATTATTATTTTTCTTTAATTAATGAATTAAATATGTGAGATATTTTGATAAAATTTTTAAAAAATTATTTGAATTTTACTTAATAAAAATAAAAATTTTATATAATTATTTGTATATATATGAAATATCACTGTTCATTGAAAATTATGTTTGAAATAATTTAAAAAAAAATATTATTTATTTTCTTTTTTTAAGTTATAAATAGATGTACTAATATAAAAATTTATTGAAATAATAAAAATAATAAAAATTTTATCAAAATGAATATTATTTTATATTATTCCTAATCTCTTTTAATAAGCTTTTTTTGGATTTAATTATGGAATATATATGGATTTAATTATTTTAACGCAAAAATATATTATATTATTTTTAAAAATATAGTTTATTATAATTTTAAATAAAATAAATTAAAATATTACTAAAAAATTTTAATAAATATCATACTCAATATCATTACTCTTTTTTGTATCATGTATAATATTAAATGAAGAATTAATTTTTCATCATATTATTGTTAAAACTTCTAATATTATATTTAAAATCTAATAATAAGGTAATTTTAATCATATAAAAAAATGATATCACTGAATTTGTCTTAATAAACATTATAATACTATCAAAAATAAAATTTAAAAAAGATCTTTAAATTTTTTAAAAAATTTTTTTTAAAAAATTAAATTGATCTTCAAATTTCCTCTTCATCTTGTATATAGAATATAAAAAAATTATTCATATAATGTCTCACTTCATAATAAATAATCTTCATAAGAATATTTCTTTTGTAACATTACTTCCTTAAAGAATACTTAGTCATATTCAATTAAAACAGATGTTTTACATATTATGATATTGATATAAATGATATTTTTAACAATGTAATTTGTATGTAATTTAATTATGTTTATATTTTATTATATTATAATTATAATAATTTAAAGAAATTATTTCTATATTAAAATGTTATTATTTATTTATGAATTTTATTTTTTTATTTCGAAATTTAAAAAGATAGAATCTTTATTTATTAATTTTACTTTACTTATTAATTTCACAATTGAATATTTTCTCGTAAAAATAGCAAAAAAAATTCAAAAATATTTTATATCTTTTAAATATATTATACTTACATCTCGAAACTGTACAAGGCCAAGTTCTCCAAGTTCTGAGACACAAGCATAAGCTGCTTCACTTTGTAAGAAGAGTTGACACAAGGTCATCTCTTCGCTTCGAAAAAGCGATCCCATATTAAATTTCAATAAGTTGTTAAGATAAAATAATTATATTTATTATGAAAAAAAAATTTTTAAGTAAAACAGAAAAAGACAAGATTAGAAATAAAATTGCTTCAGCGTAACTTCTTCTTGCCAAACATTTAATAGATTAACACACTTCTCGATTTCGATTACAGAAGTAATCAATAAACTAGTCACGAGGTGAGACAGGCATAAATTACGAATTGAAGGTATATCGCTACTCATATTTTTAGTTAACGCCCAGAAACTACACTAGCGACAACTAACAGTTTTGTAAATATTATCTATTTTCATAGAAAAATTAAAAATTTAATTAAATTAAATATTAATTTATTATTAATAATTTGAAATTGAAAAATAATCTTTTGATTTTTAAAAATAAAAAAATTTAAAAAATACATATTATTTTTTCTATATTACATTACATATATACTACATTACCTACATGACTTTGTTATTCACGTTTTAGTTCATATAATTGTTACTATATGTCAGCACATGTTGTTGCTACTAAACTTTCTATTACATTAATGTCATATGATCAGTTTGTGAATTCGTATTGAATTTAAGGGAGTGTCTGAATTTTTACTATCTTAGAATATTAGATATTCTTTAAAATAAAAATGTTGAAATTATTTTTGTGTTTTATAACTGCGTTAGTTACGGGTAACTTTTTCAAATGATATTTCATTTTATATCATTTAATTGTATATTATTTAATTAATTTGCAAAATTAAAATATTTTTATATTTAATATTATTATTTTTTATTATTATAGTTGCAGCAAGTGGAGATTTTGTAGTTTTACATAGTCCAAATAGTGTTTTATTCAATGGAAATGAAGAAGTGGAACAAAGCTTATTAAAAGAAGTATTAGCTGCTGCATTAGGTTTCACTGTCAAACTGGTGCATTTTTAAATTTTCTTTTATATATTTTTTATTTATTAATAATCGATATTACAAATAATATTAAAAAGTTAAATTATATTAAATATAAAATTAAATATAAAATTATATTGCTACATATATTGTGAAATATTTTAAATTTTAATTATATATTATTATTTCCGATATAGAGAGGAATATGGAATGGTATTTCTATCACTGATCCATTCAGACTTCCAGAAGCTGTCGTTGTAGTGGCAATAGAAGGAGTGGATTCTTTAGATATACCAAAAGGAAAAAGATTTCCATTAAATGTTAATGAAGTTGAAGAAACTACATGGCAAGCTCTTAGAGAACGTCTTGAAGAGAGAGATAATGATAATACTTTAGTGAGGATATCTTTAGGTGATGGATTAGATGCTGTAAGTATCATTATAAAATATTAATTTTAACAAAATAAAGTAAGAGTTTTTAATGAAACTATTTATTATTATTTGTTTAATAATTGTTTAATAATGTAATATTTGTATAATATATAAATTAATGAATATTAGTATATTTTCATAAAATCATTAATTATTAAATTCATTAAAATATAATAATAAATAAANTGGAGAATTAAAACCTACTCCTATTGATGAAACATCTTTAAGAGCTTTAAGTTTAAGTAAGGAAGAAGATAAAAAGTTTTTGGAAGAAGTTCAATTACTTCATGCTATTGCTAAAAAAGCACCTTCAGCAATTAAACCAGATTCAAAGTCTGATATTTATTGGCTTGTTATATCTGGTTTGCGACCTATTTTTGATGCTTATGGAAGCAATTCAACTACTTCTAGAGAAG